AATCATAAGATACCGCTAACAGAACGGTTGATTAACTATAAATTGTTGTACATGTTCAATCAACCTGTTGATCTGGTTACAATGAAATGTCCATACTGCAGCACTGTCCCGTTGTCATACTGTCATATCTTCTGTGAATGGAAATATGCAAAAATGATCATTTTGGTTTGTAACGAATTTTTGGGGAAGATCGAGCCGGGATTGAAAATATCACCAGCCCTCGTGCAGTGCAATGTTTCTCCAGACCTGCACGAGGAAGAAGCATGTCAAATTGTGGCTCTGTTTCTGACCGCGGTCAAAAAGGTATTGCTAACAACAGTGTATCGCGCCGTCGAAGCATCTGACAAGGACATTACCATAAGAGGCACTGTCCAGAATATCTGCAGAGCGTTCACTAATCTGGCAGAAGTGAACGAGAAAGTGCTTACACAAAGCAAACGACGGCTGAAAACGGCAGGACTCACCATAAGAGGAAAGCCCCAAGTTGTGGAAACCAACACTGAAGAAACGTTGAACTGCATACCGAAGGAATAGGATATATTACTACCCTTGAAAATTGTACTAGTTATGATGTTTAACGTTACACTGTTCACTGGATATTGTACCTGTATAAAGTTTCTAATAAACTCAATATCTGGTCAGCGTCTCTGTGTCCTCTACATCAATTGAAATGAAATAAACCGAAGTAAAAAACTCGATGGCGGATTTAAGCCCCGTCCACACTGACAACTGAAAAAACCATGGTGAATGTGTTCTTTCAAAACAGCTTGATAATCGTTCGTCATGATTCTACAGGATACAGAAGGGATCACTTCCTGAAATGAACAGAAAATAGCATCATAGCCCCTAGAAAGATAACCAAAAAGCTGGAATGATTGCTTTGCGTCGTAAAATACATAACCAACCAGATTTACAGGGGATTGCGTTCATTGCTTCAACATTTACGTATCAACTTGGTAATATATTTTAATCAATTCAAAGAATATTAAATTCTATCCTAAACGGATTGCAGTATATTATATTGTGTGTTGAGTGGCAGTATGCGTGGTATCACCCTGCAGATTCCAGGGCAAATGATTAATGATGTCATTTTCAAAATGGGGAACTTCGTGAAAACTCTTCGTTTAGAAACATTTTAAGGCCTTTGAGCTGTATCAACTAGGTCATTTTTATGTTAATATATCGGGTATTTCATTAACTCAAACTGCAACTTCAGTTACTGTCTAATTACCTCCCTAAGAGAGCTCTGTGCAGCTGAACAGCTGTCTGCATGGTGATCCCAATGGAAAAATCTGCTGTTTCTAACTAATTAAAAATCATTTTATGATCCATTGAATGGAACCAAAAAAGTCCATTTTTCCCCATTACGTTACTGCAACTTTGGCCAAATGTCATTTTTTAGGTTAAACCCAAAACTAGTGCATTGCTGTCATATATTTTGAAAAATTGTGTATAACAATGAATATAAAAAATACTTTAAACGATATGTTTCACCTGATTATAGACGAATCTGGAATAAAAGCTGAGGAGAACAAGCTGACGTACACATATGGAGCGATGGAACGAAGAATATTCGGGATTTTTCTTCGAAATCACCTACCAAGTACGCACATTCGATAGCTGACTGGATCGATGGACGTTATGTTTGCCTTCTACGACTCAGTGAAAGATAGGCAGACCATGCAGCTCTTATGAGCGATTTTCGGGGGACAATAAAAGCTGTGAATGATATTCTGCTAGTCAACAAACCTCCTCTTTAGTAGTCTTAAACGCGCTGCGACGAACCGGTGGACAGATTTGTTCAGAGGTAGACGCAAAGAACGGAAAACAGAGAACACTGGAAAAGCGTCTACTTGTGTTAATGGCAAACCAGTCACAAGAACAAATCAGACGATGGAAAACCGAGAGACGAATCTACCGCATAATTAATGCTATGAGAGTCAGGCAGCTGAAGCAGTAGTGATTCGCCTGTTCTGATTTAAAAGTCTATTATACAAAGATTTAAATACAACAGTTCTTACAAAAGTGTACAGGTGAAGTATGTTCGGTGAGGTGAAATATGTGAGAAGTGACAGGCGGAGATGATGGAGAAGGATGACGGGGTATGTGAAGGCGAAGGGAGGCTGCTAGGAGCTAGCAGTTGGAGAGTCCGTCGGAGAGTCAGGGTTGACAAAGACTGGCTGTCTGCCCTCCGTCGGGGTGAGTTCTCTGTCCCCCTCTTCTTCTTCGGTGATCGGTTGTGGCTCGCTGCGGGGCAGTACTTGGTCGACGGCATCCTCCTGGTGGTCGGGGCCTGTATGGGAAAAGTAGATTTCGACCGAGACCTGGAGGATGTCCGCGATGGCAAGTTTTCGCAGGAGACCTGCGTACCGCCGCCCGACTCCTAGGAGCCGGAGCACACTGTCGTTTTGTGGGTCCCATGCGCCCAGAGCACCTAAGATGAGCGCTTCGGTGGTGACCCGAAAGCCCTGTTGAGACAGGAGGACGGCTTCGGGTGCGTAGTGCTCGATCTTTCGTTGCCTGGCCGCGTCGAACGCGTCCCTCCCATTTTCAAACGGGATGGTAACGTCGACTATGACGGCTGTTCTGCCCACTTTATCGATTACCACTATATCAGGGCGATTCCGGGAGCCGA